GAATGCCTCGTGCTCGAAAGGGCAATGCGCTCCGCAAGGGCGGTCAGCGCCGTGGAGGAGGTGAGTCCGGGGGCTCCGGTAGAATGGTTCAGTAGTGAGCGGGAGGTGTTTCGTGGTTCCCCTTGGATGTCACCGAGGGTCTTGGGTTGGCGAATCTTGCGGGATCAGACCAGTGCAACCTTCCCGGAATTCTGCTAAGGCTCGCACGTGCCCCAGCAGGCATTGGCCACGTGTGCGCCCAACTTGAGCTCATTGCCAGCTGTTTTTCGAAATCCCGCGCCCGCAGCGGTGATTTGGCCAACATTTAAGGACCTTGATTTTCCCATCGCTGCTGGGGGGGTGAACAATCACTCGAGACAAAAGCCCCTTTGCCAAATACTGGTGCATTTGGTAGACTGCGCAGGGAAGTTGGTGGAAAGGCCTCGTCTGTTCTGTAAACCGGTGAAGTGTGATTGGGAAAGTACAGAACTGAGGCCTTAGCACTTGGGCTGGAGACTCGGTGGACGTCCTAGAGCAAGAGTCCGTCTTGAGACTCCTTATCAGCCTCAACCAGAAGCATGTCCTGTTGCGGTAAACACATTAATTCTGGTGAGATAGAGTGCCTGCCAAGCACAGTTTTGATCCGACTGCCACCCTAATGCTGCTTGGGTAGGTAATGTGGCTTGTCATTAGTAGGGTTACAAGGACTAGTACTGCAACCAATTACTGAGTGGTTCCCGATGGAATCTTGGGGAGGCCCCGGGAGAGGAGCTCCTGGGTGAGACCTGAGAAGGAAAAGCGCCCCAGGCAGAGAGCCTGTTGTGCAAAGGCCTGGCAACCAAAGGACCACAGTACAGCGAAGCAAATAAGGAAGTCTGGGCTGTTTTGATAAGTGACAGTAAGAGTAAAGGTGAACAGAAGCCAAGGTGTGGGCTGCGCATTTTCCTTGAGGCAAGTAATGTTAATAGTCCCTAAGCGGTAGGGACTGCCACCACCAGATCAGAACCTGTCCAGGACTCTGCTGCAGCAAGTAGCTCTGCCTCAAAGCCAGTCCTTAGCCCTGGAGAGAACTCAAACACAGGAATGTACCTGCCCACGGACACTTTGGGAGTCCCCTATATTCTTTTTCAATGCTCAGCCAAGAGCTTCTGGGGCTGGAGAGATGGCTCAGAGGTTAAGAGCATTGCCTGCTCTATCAAAGGTCCTGAGTTCAATTCCCAGCAATCACATGGTGGCTCACAACCATCTGTAATGGGGTCTGGTGCCCTCTTCTGGCCTGCAGGCATAGACACAGACAGAATATTGCATACATAATAAATAAATAAAAAAAAAGAGCTTCTTCTGGTCTTTCACTGCTAGGAGGAGCCATTATATCTATATCTAAAGTTCATGGCCCGGAATGGACCAAAGGAAGCTCAGGAACACTGAGCGCTCAGCACACGCACTGGGACCTGGGCTTCTGCTCCCAGGGTTGATAGGTAGCTTAGTGAGTGTGGTGGCCTGTAGCAGCACCCTTACAAGTCAGTTGTTCAAAACTGGGCACTGGTCAGACTATAGCTCTGCCAAGATTGGGGTGGGACAGGGGATGTTAGGGTATAGCCCAATGGAGAGCATAAGACCCTTGGGTCTGTGTAGTACTGTACCCTGAGCCCTAACTTTTACTTGTTCACTTTTGAGCATAATTGAAACCGGGACACAGGCCTATGTGGGAGTCATCCAGTCCCTTCTGTCACTGTGTGGTTCCTACTCACCTTAAAGCAGCTGTACCCTCCAGGGGTCCCCGCTCACCAAGTCTGGCAGGTTGTGCCTGGGTAGGCCTAGCACCTACGAGCAAGACCTCCTCCCCTTTTTCCTTGCTTCCGAATTCAAGTCCCTCTGCTGCTTAACCTGGCCTTGGTTTGCTCATCTCTACAATGGGATAGCATTCATGAAGTTACACGAGGTACCCTGAGTCAGCCCTCATCCGTACAAGCTGGTCGGATAGCAAGTTTCATGTTCCCCAGGTGCCAGGAGCAGTACCCAAGCCGACTCAGGTTCCAGCGAGGATGAAGCGGCCAGTGAGGCCCGGAGTACCACCAGTGAATGTCCCAGCCTGCTCAGTGCCACTGCAGAGGACTGCCTGGGTGAGAGTGGGTTGAAGTGTGACAGGGATGCAACGAGGGCTCCACTGGGCAAGGACAGAATTCAGTGGTGCCCGGCTGACTTTGCAGGTGGGGAGGCTGTGGATGAGCAGAGCCAGCAGGACAACCTGGAGGAGAAGCTGAAGGACTCGGTGGACTGCCTCACTGACAAGAGGTACCTCTGGCTGCTGGCCAGATTTAGCGCGCAGGGCCTTTGACACGCTTCTGCACGCTCTGCCTTTGCCAGGTGGAACCAAGGGAGCCATCACCCATGTGAACCCTTTCTCTATCTCCCTCCCAGTGCCAAGACCCGGCAAGGAGCTCTGGAGAGCCTGCGCCTGGCCCTGGCCTCCCACCTGCTTCCTGACTTCTTGCTGGAGCGCAGCCTCACACTGGCGGATGCCCTGGAAAAGTGCCTTAAGAAAGGTCAAGTCCTGGGCGCTTGGGGAACCCTAGCTAGGCAGGTGTTGACGCTTGCTGCATGCGCTAACTGGAAAGCATCCTGTAGGAAAGGGTGAAGAACAGGCCCTGGCTGCTGCGGTGCTAGGCCTGCTCTGTGTGCAGCTGGGCCCTGGACCCAAGGGCGAGGAGCTGTTCCATAGCCTGCGGCCGCTGCTAATCTCGGTGCTCAGTGACTGTACTGCAAGCCCCGCTGCCCGACTCCATGTGAGTATGTCCATGCCCCATGGACCCTCATCCCAGAGCAGGATGTCGGGGTCTACCTATCTTGAGAATCCCGGCCCTAAAGAGGGCGAGCCTCGTGTAATGTTCCTGTTGTTGAGCCATGGTAGCCTAGCTTTGTCCTCTTCCCAACAGTGCGCTTCTGCTCTTGGCTTGGGCTGTTATGTGGCTGCCACCGATGTCCAGGTAAGTGGACTTTGGGCGTGGGTTATAGTGTAGTGGCTGGACTCAGTGGCTCTGTCTGTGAACCTCCCCTGTCTCCCTGTGCTCCTAGGACCTGGTCTCTTGCTTGGCTTGCTTGGAAGGTATTTTCAGCTGGTCCTGTGGACCTAGTGGCTCCCCTGCTGCTCTGGTCCCTGCCAGCCTACATGGCCTGCTCTGTGCTGCCCTGCAGGCCTGGGCATTGCTGCTCACCATCTGTCCTAGTACCCACATCAACCACATCCTCGACAGGTAGGAACAGCTGCCTACTGGGAGTGGGGGGATTGCGAAGGGACCCTCAACCCCTACCCGGAACTTAGCTCGCTGTTTCCTTAGGCAGCTGCCCCGGCTGCCGCAGCTCTTGTCCAGCGAGAGCGTGAACCTGCGGATTGCTGCTGGCGAAGCCATCGCTCTGCTCTTTGAGCTTGCCCGGGACCTTGAGGTGCGAGGGAAGTACCTGCTGGCATCGCGCGCACACTCGCACACACACACACACGCGCATGCACACACAAATCTTCAGTCTTGGGTCATTTTGTAGGGGAGGTGACCTCAACACTTAACATGCTAGGTGTTTTAGTGGGAATTCTGAGCAGAGTTGAACTGCTGGGGAGAGGCCAAGGAGGGCTTGAGAGAAGAGGAGCCAGGCAGAGGAAAGCAGCACCATGCCCAGTTCCAGAAGAATTCAAGCTTCTACCAGCACCTCATTGTTCCCACACAGGAGGACTTTGTTTATGAGGACATGGAGGCGCTCTGTGGTTCCCTGCGTACTCTAGCCACTGACAGCAATAAGTACCGTGCCAAGATTGACCGCCGACGCCAGCGCTCCATTTTCCGAGCCGTGCTGCACTTCGTTGAGGGTGGTGACTGTGAGGAAGAGACAATCCGCTTTGGACTGGAAGTGCTCTGCATAGACACCTGGGCTCGCCACCGCATCTACACAGCCTTCAAGGATGTGCTGGGCTCAGGCATGCACTATCACCTCCAGGTGAGGGGCTGTACGGGGAGGTCTGCCTAGCTTGACTATTTCAGAATGTCTTTAGTTAATTGCCTTGTCTTCAGAACAACGAGCTTCTCCGCGACATCTTTGGCCTGGGCCCTGTGCTGGTGCTGGATGCCGCTGCCCTGAAGGCCTGCAAGATTTCACGTTTTGAAAAGGTTTGCATCTTGGCACCTTTATCTTGCCTCCTGTTCCCTGGAGGCCTCGAGCTGTGAGCTGGCTACGGGAGGAGCCCGAACTTTCCTTCTCGGTTCACCAGGCTCCCTTCTTTGCCTCCCTCAGCACCTGTACAATGCTGCAGCCTTCAAAGCCCGGACCAAGGCCCGGAGTCGTGCGAGGGACAAGCGGGCAGACGTCTTGTGAAGCAGACTGGCCAATGAGAAGGCTACCCGTACCCTTACCATATTTTTAACAGAAGACAGAGCAAGAACTGGTCCCCACCAGTGATTGTCACTTTATTATTATTTTTTTTAATGATGAAACCAAAACTAGACAAATATGGGAGGCCAAGGGCTCAGGACACTCAAGACTCTGGCCTCTGTGTCTGCACTCAGCCCTGGGGCTATGACCTCATCCTGTCCTGTCTCAGGTGAAACCAAATGTGCACCAGTCCTCCCAGAGCTGAGGGGCAGGTGAGAAAGGACTGACCCTTTCCTTTTTTAAACCTTTTCCCCTGGAGCCACTTCCTTTGGGGTCTGGCTCCTGTCCACAATGGCATAAGGTAGGCAAAGCTACCTAGAATGAATGTGTGTGCTGATTTTTAAAAATGACAGAGTATTAAACCATACTTGTTCCCCGTGACCTTTATCCTGAGTCCTTTGTTGGCCTTCCCCCTCCTCTCTCACCCTAGGCTTGGCCCCAGCTAGATCTCTATTTCATCTTTGCCCTCCAAGGCAGTCTGCCTGCATGGTCCCCACCCCCAACTCAGCCTAGCCTGTCTGAGAACTGAGACTGGACCCCCCACTAGGAGGCCTGGCAGAGTGGGTGGCCAAGCGGGGACAGCTATTTCTAGACTTCTGAATCTGCTATCTGGGGGTGGCCAAAGGGTGCTGACAGGCCATAGGAGGAGCCAGGAGGCGGCTGGGTGCCCCATCCTCTGACCTTTGGCTATCCAAAGGAGAGCCTTGGCACCAGAAGGCTTGATCAGGCCTAACCTGAAGAGGTCAAGACAGGCAGAAGCTATTGAGTCACGTCAGGCTCTTGTACAGAAATCTCACCAAGGAAGTAGTGTAGATGTCGCTAGCCACCAGTGGGAGAACAGACCTGCCAAAGGTCCCTCTATCTCCCCCTCATACAATGGCATCTCAGCTGGGTGCCCGAGCTTCGCTGGAGTTGAGCCTCCTTAGCTGACTGAGGCTAGCCAGGCGCAATTTGAGCAGCGTCTCCTCTTGTGTGCGCAGTGTGTGTGCCAAGACCCTCAGGGATTCGCTCTGCAGCACTGGGGATGGGAAGACATTTGTGGGACCTTGTCAGGCTTGCCATTCCAAATCTCCAACCAGCCCAGCATCAGGGGTTGCCCACTGACCCCTGCCCCACCCTTTATTGCTGCATTTGCAGGTGCCCTGGGTTTCCAGCCCTGCTTGTCCCTACCACTTAGGTAGACAGCCAGGATGGCTAATGCCAGGCAGGTGAATACTAGCAGTGCCAATAGCAGTAGGAACCCCCCACGGCCACACATGGGACTGCAATCAGCTTGGGTACACATTGATGATGGCAAGACACCCAGAAGCTCTTCCCACGTCTGTGTCTCTTCAGCCAGATAGGGCTGGAGTGAACCTGCAGGGAAGATGGTTTATCAGGAAGGTGGTACCCAGAGCATCCATCCCCGCCCCCCTTCGCATCCTTACCTCCACTGTGTAGGTCGCTGATGGACTCCACTCGGTGCAGACGTACCTCCTGCACATGGTTAGGAGCCAGTGTTCCCCTGCTCCTCTGGTTCTGCATTGGCAACACAGTGTCTGTAGGGGGCAGTGGGACTGATTTGAGCAAGCCAGTCACTCCTTACCGTGTAGGTAAACTCAGGCTGCAGGGACTTGGGACATATGGAAACTACACCAGTGGCCTTTGGTTCCAAATTCCCTACAAGTTCAGGAAGGACTCAGTTTTGATGCAGGGTTCCAAAGGCCTAGTCCGTGTATAGGGGTCTTGACATGTCCCCATGTTCACGGTCAGGCATTCCTCCGCCTGTTCACTACCAGCAAATAGTTCACCAACCTAAGCCCACGGCAACAGCAAGTTTGCCATCGGTTCTGACCTGATGCCATGGCACCTACTCCTAGGCAAAGCAACTGCCTTCCTGACAGACAGTGGTTCGGCTGCTCTTCCTGGAGCCCTGCTGTTTTCACTCAACAGCACTGCAGGAGCCCCCATTTTTTCTTAACAGTTTCATATAAATCTGAGGACTCCTTCCGGCCTCCCTCTGAGGTTATCTGGGCATTTAGGTTGTTTCCAATTCCCTTTGGAAATTAACCCCCAGGACATCAGTGATTAAATATGAAGGTTTTCCCCACTTTCCTGAAAGTCATTGAGGACAATTCTCAGAAGTGGAGTCACTGGGCCTGAGGACAGACTGTAAAGCTGTCGTTAGCCTGTCTTGTGAAATCCGGTCCAGAGCCCAGCAGTACAGCATCACCACTAAGCATCCCACTGGGGGGGGAAATGGATGCGTGTGCGCGTGGAAGCCAGAGGTCTCAGACCTGGCACAGGAACTCAACAGGCCAGGCTCACTAACTGCAGACGCCTCCCTTCTGTCTCCCCTTCACCAGAGCTGAGATGACCTGCAGTCCGCCTCCCAGTCATAAGGACTTACAGACGGCAGCTGACTTTTGCTTGTGAGCACGTCACGGGCTCCTGAGAAATGAACTCAGGTCCTCCGTGCTTGCAAGGCAAGTTTTTTCTGAGTTAGACCAGACTCTGGATGCGCAGACCTTGACATATTTGCTAATTTGAGAGATGAGAAACAAACAGTTTGACTTTGCCTAGGGGTCCTGAATATTGAGTGTCCATTACCCTTCCACAGGTTCTGCCCATCTAGTCACTGACTCTATGGTTCCCTAATGGTTTTATTCAGATTTTGTTTTTGAGATAGTGTCTCACTATGTGACCTTTGCTGGCTTGGAACTCATCAAGTAGCCTAAGGTAGGATGGGCTTACCCTCAAAATTCTCTTGCCTCAGCCTACCCATTATTGGTATTCCATGTGTGTATCTCTGTACCAGCTTTGTGTTGTGTTAGTGGTGTATGTGTAGTGGATACCCACGTGTGTTTAGACCCTTGTGCAGACGTGTAGAGAGCAGAGGAGGACCTTGGGTGTCCTTGTCCATTCTCTGTCTTATTCCTTTGAGGCAGGGTCTCTTCATGAGGCTGGAGATCAGGTTTTGCTTTTTTGATTAGGGAAGCTGGCAACCAGGAAGCCCCAGCGATCCTCCACTTCCCAGTATACACAGCACCGGAGTTATAAGGTACACAAGACCACACCTAGCTTGTTATGTGGGTGGGTACTGAGATCTGAACTCTTGTTTTTTGGTTTTGGTTTTTAAAGACGGGTTTCTCCATCTCACTCTGTAGACCAGGCTGGCCTCGAACTCGCAGAGATCCTCCTGCCTCTGCCTACTGAGTGCTGGGATTAAAGGGAAGGCGTGAGCCACCGCAAACTCCAATCTTCAAGGTTATGCAGCAAATGTTTCTAATCTCTTCCTCCTTCCCCTTTTGTTTGAGATGGGCTCAGAAAGTTCCCAGACTGGTCTTGGGTTCCTGGTTAACTCAAGTCATCTCTCTGCTTCAACCTTCCAGTTACTATCAAAATATTTATAATTTCTAAGTAACTATAACTACACTTTCTCCTAGTGTTATGTGACTGGATATTCATTATTTTGAAACAGGGTGTCACTATGTAGCACTGGCTAGCCTAGAACTCGTTAGGTAGAGCAGGCTGGCCTTGAACTCAGAGGTCCTCCTGCCTCTGCCTCCCAAGTGTGCACCGCCAACGCCTTCTATTGGGTTTTGTTTTGTTTTAGTTCTGCTCCACCAGAACTCCAGATGCTGGGGGTGGGGTGGGGGGACGGGCTAGGTAACAGTGTGGCAGGACACTGGGTAAGGGAAATTTGAGCCCGCTAATGAGCTTGAAGCTGCCCCTTGACATGCTCACAAGCAATTCAAACAAAAACAGATGCTCTCGGTCCTTAGGCCTGGCTGATGGACTCGGGTCACATTAAGTTCCCCCCTTGGCACTTTATATTTGAGCATATTGTATTGCTACAGAAAAAAAAATACATGGTAGATGTTACAGTTAAATCATCCCCCCTTAGTAGAGGGCAGGCCCTTTCTCTGCAGTATAAAATACGGAGGACCACAGATGGCTTAGCAGGTAAAGGCACTTGACTGGCAGAGTGTCAGTCTCGACTAGGCTGAGACGCTCTAGTTTAGGGTATTTAAACCCAAGGTAGGGCAGACCGGAGGCCTGGCAACTTCCCAGTCCCTAGGTCAGATGTTGAAATGCTTCCTGGAACCACTTTGCACCCCAGTTCCCGCTTCTTTTGCTGAAGGAAGAGCTGAACTGCTTGGCAGCTCCCCAGATGCCCACACCCACTTGGATAAAGCCTATAGTACCCATTCTGAAGTGGAGAGCTGCAAATCCCTCCCCACGGCCCATAGCAGGGGAAACTGAGTCAGGACCTGAGAAAGGGAGGAGCTCTAAGTATGACGGATACATTCTTCATCAATGCAAAGGGGTAGGTCCCTAGAACAGGGGGTGGAAAAACTACTCAAGGCAATGAGGGCTTCTCCATAGGGCACTGGGTCCAGAGCCCTGCCCTCCCTCATGGCTACCCTCTCCTACCTTCTTGGGTCTCCTCAGGCATGGCGTTGATAGGTAGTCAGGGGCCCGATGAGAGTGCCCAGTAGCAGAACTGGACAAAGACAGCAGTGGCTCCTTTGGGATCCTGGGAAAGGCCTCCTGGCCTCCCAATTTGGTCTTAAAATAGGCCTGAGCTCACTTCCCTAGGCTATATTTAGAGGGGGCATCTCTGAGCCATGAAAAGGGGCAGAGTGACCCAGATGGGTCGGCCTAGACTACCTGCTTGGGGATGGGGCTCAGCCAAGAGCAAGCGTCTGCTAGCACACGGACCCAGGGAACTGAAGGCCATACCAACTCTGTATGCACATAGGCTTTGGGGCTTTCATTCAGAAGGCCGGCATGCAGCATGTGCCATGTAGCTATGAGGAAAGAAACCCTGTTTGTCTCTACTCAGCCGTCCCTCCCACAGCCCAGCCATCTCCTTCCAGCACCCGCCCGTGTGACCAGCTAGGACCAGCTAGTGGGGGTGGTGGACAATGACGCACAATGCCATAAGGATCTGGCAGCCCCACGAGTGAGCGCCCATGCTGACCAGTGGACAGACTGGGATGAAGTTGGTATTTCTAGTATTAAACTAGCCTTAGGTAAAGAGAACCTTGAGAGTGTAAAACAGGAGCAAGGGGTCCTAGCCAAGAGTACTGCGAATAAAAAACGCAGAGACATGACTAAAGGATTTAGCACAAAGTAGTCTTGATCCTCCCTCTCCCTCCTCTCCACAAGGGCTTAACAGGCCACATGGGGGCGAGTGAGGATGTACACTGCTCACTCTGGAGGGAAGGAAGCTGGTCCAGTTTCTAGGCCTTAGTCAGTGTGCAAACGAACTGTGTTCTGCTTCTTCTCGACTGTGCAAAGTAAGGCTAGGAGAGGGGTCTACCTTCCAAAACATCCTGAATCCGTCACACGTCACACTATCGTATTAGCCTCCTTGACATTCCTCAGACTTGGCAGGTTTGTTCCCCACGCCAAGGCTTTGGACTGGTTCTTCCATCCTGGAATGTTCTGCCACCAGACGTCCTGTGACTGGTTCCTTCTTATCTTTCAGCTCAGGTGTCAGCCCTTCAGTGAGTTCTGCACACATTCCTGCCCACAACATCCAGTACTGTTTGTTTTTCCATCAGAGAGCTTAGCCCTGCCATTAATAGTTGGAGAATGCACTGCGCATGTCAGCACCCCCGGAGGCGCACTGGAGCCAGCTGGATCATCTAATACCACTTTGGATCTTCACTAAAGCAAATTTTTTTCCCCCTTCAAGACAGGGTTTCTCTGTGTAGCCCTGGCTGACCTGGAACTAGCTCTGTAGACCAGACTGGCCTCGAACTCACAGAGAACCGCCTGCCTCTGCCTCCAGAGTGCTGGGATTAAAGGTAAATGCTACCACCACCCTGCAGAATGGCAATTTAAGATGAGAAAAATTTAGGACTTTGGACTGCTAGGAGGACACCCGACACTTGTGGCTCCCAGGAAGGTCAAGGACTACCTGTTATCTGCTGGGGCCAATCCAACGTCAGCTGATAAAGTGTTTATTGCATTACTTTAGTACAGTTGGCCTGCCTCACCTGGATCCCAACAGCCTAATCTGTTCATAGCTTTCTGCTCACTGCCCAAGAAAGAATGCTTCCCCCAGGGCAGGTACTCAAGACAGTTCTCTGGCCCTGGTCTACTATGGAACCCCACTTCTCTGTCCCCTCTCTGCAGGCTAGAACCTGAATTAAGCCTGGACTACTCTTCTGAGGCTACATTCGCGGGTTATCTTGTTAACAACTTAGCTGGCTCGGCTACCCTTTGGCCAGGGCCTATGTATTATGAGTTAGGTGTCTCTCTATTGGCCCAAGGACCTCAGTGTGCCACAACGCTTATGTCTTTCTGGCGTTTGCCCCCTCTTCTGAGTGTCAAATCCAGCCTGGTCCCCGGTGTGGGGACAGCCCAGTCACCAGTGTGCTGCACTACGTGGCCCACGCTCAGCACGCAGCTCAGAGGCATGCATCCGCCTGTTGCGACCCTTCCGACGTGACTCTGCTGCCGCAGAGTGGGGTCCAGGCTGCGGGCGGGGCCCAGGCTGCGGGCGGCACATTCGCAGGGAGTTCGCGCCTCCACCGCCGCCCGGCTCCACCAGCTGCAGGAAGTCTCGGTACCAGAGTTTAGGGCCTGGGGGTGCAGGGGCTGCTGCCTCCTCAGCCCGTGCCAGTCTTTCGGCCTGCACCGCACTTAGCACGTGTAGCACCAGGCGACACAGTGGCCGTGAAAAACCTTGTTCGACAGCGACGCACAGATACACGCCGGAGTCCTGGCGCCGCAGCCTACGCAGCAGCAGCCCCCGGGCTGTCCGCTCAAGTCGTTCCTCGGCCAGCACCTGCGTGTGGGGGCAGGCACAGAAGCAAAGGGTCATTTGGGGCCAAAGCTGGATGGGAATCATAGATGGTGGCCCATACTCACTTAAGGCTAGGTGCGCAGGGATAGGAAGCCTTAGGGTGGGTAAGAGGGGTCACCTGAATGCGGGTTGAGGGAGACAGGAAACCTCAGTGGGCTGAGGTAGTGGGTGGGTCAGGAGTCTAGTTGGACACAGTGGGGGCATCACTGGGCTGTGGAGTTCAACTAAGGACCGAACAGGTAAGGAATCTGACTGCAGGGCCTCATTGAACTGGACTCCTGTGAGGTATAAGTCACAGGCCTCGTTGGGCAGGGCATGGCTTCTCTTAGATGGGCCTGGTTAGGAAGGGTGGAGGGAGGCACACCTGGGTGTGAGCCACCTCCCCTGCACGATGGAAGGTCCACTCCACATGCGCCTGTAGCGAGCGGGGCTCACACTCCAGAAAGGCACTGCCGTTCTCCACGCCTAAGACCTTCCGCTCCAACAGCGCAGGGTGGGAGGAGTCTTGAGACAGGAGGGTAAAATTCAGACAAGGTAGGGCTGGGTGTGGCAATTTCAAGGCCTGAGGGTAGGAGCTGATGAGGTACTCACCCCCAGAGCACAGGGTGCTAGGGTCACCATTCCTTATGTCTTGCCTCCGGAACCGCCTGAGGGAGATATTAAAACCTGTGACCCCTTCTCAGCTGGTGGCGAAGCAGTTAGTGACCCCGCCACCCCCCCACCCCCCCACAGTGGCCCAATCCAGACTCCTAGCCAGCCCACCTCTTGGCAGTAGGCTGGAAGCGTGTGCAGGCTGATCCATCCCAAGCACAGTAAGGGTCACGGGCCAGGCAGCATTCTGCGCAGGCGCGGCCTAGGGTAGTGCAGCGATGCAATGCAATCTGGGCCACCGCACTCGGCGATGCTACGTAGAGCTGGTGCTAGAGGGCACAAGAACTCCAGTCTGATTGAGGGTAGCCCTTACCTGGCTCCTACCCACTTGATGGATGCGAACACTGAGGTCGCATTGTCTAGCAAAGCACAAGCTATTCCTAAACTCTGGGCTGTGAAGACTAAGGAGAAGCGAGACAATTGGGGCGCTGGCTGGTGGTGCTCCTCAGAGTTCAGTTACTCACCCTTTTAGAGGAGATTTGCATGCTGGTGATGGTGGCAGAGTCCTGAAAGGGAGGCAGGACATGGGATCAGCGTTTAATGAGTTGGGGTGATGTATCCTAGAGTGACTGGGGATAAAGCCTCACCTCGAACACCTGCAGCTCTTCCAGGAGAAGTCCCTCGGAGTTAGGTCGGCTGCCCTTGGGGACTGAGATCACTTTCAGCACTGTGCCCACATCTGTGGAAATGAGAAGAGGGAGGGACTTGCTTTTCCCTGACAAGCAGGTGCAGTGCCCACCTGAGTGCTGTGGGTATTATTTTAATTGGGCAAAGGTGTGTTACATTGTTTAATTATGTAAAGATGTGTTTGCTGTTGCACTTTGCCAGCCTAAAGCACCTGATAAAAAGCTGAATGGGGGGGCTGGAGAGATGGCTCAGTGGTTAAGAGCACTGGCTGCTCTTCCAGAGGTCCTGAGTTCAATTCCCAGCAACCACATGGTGGCTCACAACCATCTATAATGCGATCTGGAGCTCTCCTATAGTGTGGGGGCATACATGGAGGCAAAATGTAGTATACATAATAAATAAATAAATCTTTAAAGACAATAAAAAACAAAAAGCTAAATGGCCAGTAGCTGGGCAGGAGAGGAATAGGCAGGACAGGCAGGCAGAGAGAATAAACAGATGAACGAGAGAATGAGGAGAGAGAGAGGGAGATGTCAGCCAACAGACACAGAGTAGGACACACAGAGAGAAAGGTAAAAAGCCCCGAGGCAAAATATAAATTGAGAGAAACAGGTTAATTTAAGAGCTAGCCAGAAACAAATCTAAGCTAGGCTGAGCATTCAAAACTCTAACAAGTCCCTACGAGTCCCTGTGTCATGATTTGGGAGCTGGTGGTGACCTAAAAGAAAAAAGCCTGGTATATCCATGCACACATGCATGAGTGTGTGTGTGTGTGTGTGTGTGTGTGTCTGCATGCATGTGCACACACACTGTCTCCACCTATATCGTGGTTAGGGCATGAAAAAGTGAAAATTGTAAGTTAGAATAGCTAGGGCCGCCTTCAGAAAGTGGGGCCATAGCCCAGACAGAGATGTAGAAATTAGACTAATTGGCACAACTTCTACCTTCAGGCCAAGGACCCTGGAGGGGTCTCTATGGGGGGAGGGGGGACTATTGTGATGAGACCCTGACCTGTACCAATGAAGAGAACATCGTAGTGTCCATCGGCAGCTGCTACGCGGTCTGCAGCGATCTGGGTGAAGGTGTACCCAGCTCCCACTTGGAGGAAGAGAGGGCGCCCCCCCACGGGCAGGACTGGGTTGTACATGAGAGGGTGGTTCCGAGCAAACTGGATAACATCATCTGGGAAGTCCTTGGTGGAACTGAAGGTGCCAAAAGTCTTGCTGGGGCACTAGGGAAGGCAAGGCACGTCAAGCAGAGATACACACTTAGGATTTTGTGGTCAGCCCCTTCATTCAGAGCCTCCAGGAACAGAAAAGGTGAAAAGGGACAAGAGCCTTTCCCCGTGAACCTTGGGCTGAGAGGGCACATGGTCTCACTCTGCAGTTCTGTCGTATGGGGGCGACATTTCTCCACCATACCAGAAGGAAGAAATCGGACCCCCACCCCCGACAAAACCCCCAGGCCAAAGTCAAGTTCTCTACCCTTGAGACTTCGAAGCTGATTGTTGCAAGCAGTCCCTAGCAACGCACCATGCCAGGTCGTGGGTAGGGGACACGACCTTGGTAGGACACCCACTGATGTGTAGGCCCCTCCTTGTGAGCAAAGGGTCCCAAGAAGGCTCGGCGCACGTCATTCATGCTGTACACGCACACAGCGGAGCCCTGGAAGACGCCACTACGAGCGATGAAGAGAACGAAATGAGCGCCCGCAAGCCAAACTGACTGCCCAAGGGAACTCCCACTTCCGGCCCCTCACCTGGAGGTGGAGAAGACGGCGTAGAGAAGTGGTGTCTGGCGGTCCCGGGAGGTCAAAAGAAACACGTCCTCTGTAAGAAAAGGGAAGGTTGGCAGGGCAGTACACCCCCAGGCTCCTGGATTCTGCACCCTCGGC